GTAACCACTACGCTATATACATATGTGTGTGTGTGTGTGTGTGTGTGTGTGTGTGTGTGTGTATGTGTATATATATATGGCAGACTTCTCGTGTGGCATTGCCGGTTAATGCGGTAAACTGTAACATCGATTTTGGCTTTAAGGTCGGCAGTTCCAACTCACCAGCTGTTCCTTGGGAAGGAACCCTGTACAAGGTCGCTCTAAGTGGGATCCCGACTCGATGGCACTTAGCAACAAAGCAATATATATGGTATTACATTTCTTCAATAGAAGAGTTTTATTGTAATAAAAGGAAACAACATTAGATCTTTATTAGTGTAATCTTATGTTGAGTTTCAAGTTAGCACAATGAGTCTCATTTATGATGTTATTATTTTCACATAAAATATCCTACTAATATTATTCATGACAAACTCTGATGAGTCAGAATTAAACACAAAAGATTAATATCATTCAGCTGTTAAAAACTTTCAGGAACCAAAAATACAGATATTAATACCCTAAAAGAAAAATAAGCAAAAGACAATTTTTAAAGAAATTAACAAACCATGTTTTAAAAATTCAACTTTACTAATGACCAAACACTATATACGTAAAGTAAAACAAAAATGTATTTTACATTTCCAAATTGTCAAGGTTTTTAAATGGTAATGTTCAGTTCTGTCAGTATGATAGTCATATATATTCTACAAGAGTAGCATAAAGTGGCAAGTCTTTTTTATAAATGAATTTGACAATGTACACCAAAAATCTTCAAAATATTTAAGAATTTTATCCAAGTTTTTCACCTAAGAATTTTCCTAATCAGACAGTTTCATAAAGCGCCTTATGTTCATGGACTTTCATTTTGAGGAATAAACGAAATAGTGAATAAAAAGTGCTGACAGATAATATAAGCCTAAATATTAAGTATTTTATTATGAGATAAAAGGAGTTAAGAAAAATCATCCCAAATTTGAAAATAATAACTTGTCTTTTGAATGATATAATGGTAGTTTAGTAGTTTCTCTAAAAAATTATCCAATATTCTGGAAGGATGTCCCTTGTTTAACTTAGTATTTACTTATTGGTTAGGGCCAAACTCTGAGAAATTAGATGTTAAATTGTAAATAATAATAATAATTCAGCAATGATACGAATGATTTCTTTCAGGTAGAAGAGACAATCTGAAAGGTTATGGTTTTATTGCCCTATAGATGAGCAACCAATTTTATATTTGATAATTTTATTTAATTGTTTTATCTCTAATTCACTGTATGTATCTGTCATTCCTACACTCTTGGACTAGGTTTTCAGTCTTCTGGATCCCTCATTAATAGTTAAGTGAATCTTTTCATGTGCTCACTATATATTTGTATGAGACTTCTCAACTTTTTTGATATTATATTTTGAAAATTGCTGAGAATGCATAAACCCTTTTGGGACTCAATAGTAAATCTTCATAGAGAAAGGTGTTTAAAAAAATAAAATGTGTAAAATGGACTTTGACAATAGAAAATAATTAGAATGTCTTTTTGTTTATTCTTGGTTTGAAACGCAACCAAAAAATACAAATGAGATGGTTGGCTGGTCATGTGCCGTGGAGTCAGTTACGTCTCATAGAGACCCCGAATAGGGTTTCTGAGGTCATAAATCTTTACCAGAGCAGAAAACCTCATCTTTCTCCCATGGAACTACTGGTAGTTTTTGAACTGCTGACCTTGAGGTTAGCAGCCCAACTCATTACCACTATGCTACCAGAGATATATACACTTATGGTGCTCTGGTAGCGTAGTGGTTACGAATCGGGCTGCGAACCTTAAGGTCAGCGGTTCGAAAGTACCAGCTACTCCGCGGGAGAAAGATGAGGCATTCAGCTCCCGTAAAGATTTACACCCTCGGAAACCCTGTACAGGGTCGCTATGGGTGGGAACCGACTCAAAGGCACTTAACAACAACAATTAAGTTAGTACATGATAATGTCATGTATCAAAAATCAACGTGAAAGATGCTACATTTTATTTGATAACAAAAGAATAAATTAAAATTCTCCTCAAACAAATGAAGATGACTTAATCTGTGATCGAGTTGATACAAATTGTTTTTAAAACATGTTGTTGTTAGGTGCCATTGAGTCGGTACCGACCCATAGCGACCTTATGCACATAGACTATTAGAAAATTTTGTTTTTGAAGGTAGTAAATAAGAAATATAAATGCATCAAGTCCTGGCCTGCCTAGAAATCATGGACCTACCCTCTCTTCATATTAAACCCAAACCAAACCACCGAGTTTATGAATTATGGTGATCCCATGTGTTTCAGGTTACGAATCGGGCTGCTAACGTCAAGGTTGGTAGTTCGAAACTACAGCTGTACGTGGGAGAAAGATGAGGCTTTCTGCTCCCATAAAGAGTTGCAGCCTTCGAAACCCTGTGCAGGGTCACTATGAGTCGGAATCGACTCCACGGAGCTTAACAACAACAACAATGTGTTTCCAAGCAGTCATAAGGTGTTTAAATTGTAATCTTTTGCAAGTAAATCTCTAGACCTCTTCTTCAAGACATC